TCAAAGAGGGACAACTGTAAACACCCCATTTTTGACTGCCCTTAAGACTTGGGCGCCTCTGATTGATCACTCGATGATGAAAGTTATGTTGTACAATCGCTCAATTTCTTCAGTAAGAATGGCTTCTAAATCCCAACCTTACATCCTATTTTGGACCAAAACTATTTTGACCACAACTATTTTAGACCTTAAAACCCTCTCTTTCAAAATATTTTTGAAAATGTTTCTACGATGTTTTGAGGCTTACATTTCATTAAATGTTGCACTTTTTGGTAAACCGAGCAAGGACAAAGTAAAAATAAATGGAAGAGAGATGAACTCTTTGAAAAATATTTTCAAACCTCTTATTTATAGGTTTGGAGTTGAAGAAAATTGGAGGAGAGGGAAGAAACCTAGTTGGGGAAGAAGTAGGGCATGAACCGTTAAGAGAGAACTGGGCAGCCTTCATTAAATCAGGCCTATCCTTTTGTACACTTGGTTTAGTTGTGACCAAAAATAGATTTTTTTTGTAGATATTTTCTTCCAGCTGTTTCCACACTACTCCAGCTATTTCTAAATAGATATTTTCGACCTAAGGCTCATGTTTTCTATATATACATGACTTATCTCTCATATTTAAAGGTTAGAAAAACTTTGGAAGCAAAAATATCCTTCCTCTCTACAATTTTCTCTCTCTACAATGCTCTCTACAATTCTCTCTCTCTCTCTCTTGCAACTTGCATAGACTTTGCCCAAACACTCTAAACCAAACCTAGAGAGCTTCTTGCTGAGATTATTTGCACTTGAATTTGAGTTATTGAAACACTTGAGAGTGTGAAATTGGTGGTTTATGACTTAAGGGTTCAATCCTTTTCAAGAGGTATACCTTCTCTTGCTTTTGCACCATCTCTACACCACTTATTTTTCATCTTTTCTTGCCCTTTTTGGGCTGTGAAAAATATGTATTTTTGGGTTGAAACTTGTGGTTTAAGCCCAATAAAGGTTGATGGGTGGTTCGCCATTCTTTACACTTTACTTTCAAGGCCTTTACCCTTGTGTTTCCCATCCTTTTACTATCTTTTTTTGAGCTTTTAAACATTGAATTTCAGAGTTATTTCAATGGCTAAAATCATGTTTTGAAAGTCCAAAAATGGAGGAGGTAGCCTCGCCTCTTTGTGTTTTACTTACTAGCTTAACATGCTCCATGTTTTAGCTTATTTTTCTAGCTTTTGTTGGCTTAATTCTAGCATGTTTTAGGGTTATTTCAGACCTATTTTAAGACTATTTTTAAGTGTTTGTTGTGTTTGAGCTTTGTTTTTCATGTTTCTAGTGTAATAGTTCTCATAAACTTGATGTTTTAGGTCTTAGACATCACTTATTTTGGGCTTTTCATACTTAATTCCAACAAGCATAATCTCTGCAACCTCCGTCATTTCTTCACTCTTTGTTTTCCTTTAGTGTTGTTTCAACCTTGGGATTATTTAAGCTTGAGATTGAGGTCCAAGCTTAATGGTTTAATCCTCTTTTGGGGGTTCATTATCAACAGCATGACACATCTCTCTTGCCTTAAACTACCCCTTGTTTGACACTTCTTTCTCTTTTAGTGGACTTAACTCACTAATGGATTTAATTGGTTAAAGAATGGAATGGTAATTAAAAAGAGTAACTAAAAGTGGAAACTAAAAGTGAGCAAAGATAAGAATTCAATTGTGTCTTGGTGTGTTCAATCGGACGTTAATTGAACACATGGAGCTTGGACCATTTCATACTTGCTAGTGATGAAATGATCCAAGTCTCCAAAGTCAACATTTTCCCTTGATAATTCATGAAAGAGAGGAGGTTTGTGTCTTTTTTTCCCTTGCATTTATGGAACTTGCACTCTTGGGTTCACAAGCCATCATGCAATGAAATTGATTGAATTGGAGGTTCGTGGCTTAGGTTCATCACTCCTTTGATTTGCTCATGAAAAGGAGGGGTGAGTTGTGCGAACAATCCTTGAAAATACCCTATATATGCTCTGTTTGTCCGCTGTTGAAGCAAGATGAACCTGTTCATTAGTGGCCAGCAACCTTCAACCTTGGCCGGCTGGTGGCTAGCAATTTTCATCTTTGGCCAGCTGGCCACTGATGCAAAATTCAGCAGAGTGTTGGTAAGGTGGAGCAAAATTGTCCTGGAAATGTTCAACTGTGCAAACAAAGGCATACGGGAGCAAAACGGTGGTCTTTTCAGGTGGAATCCGAGCATGCTCATGCACTTCTTTTATTTCCCGAGGGGGAGTAGTTAATTTCTTAGTTTAATTATTAATTACAATTGTGTTATTGTAATAATTAGTTAAATAGTTAACTAGTTATGATGTAATTATTTTAGTTAGCTAGCTGGATTAGTTAACGAATTAGTTCATTTGTTGTTGTAATAATTAGTTAAGTAGCTTGGCTAGATTATTCTTTTTTGGTTTGTAATAGTTAGCTTAATTAGTTAGCTAGTTAGCTAGTTTATTCATTCACACCCTACTGCGTGAGGGCATTAAATGTTGTAGTAATGTGTATGTCTTGCAACCCTACGTCTTTCTCCCTTTTATTTATCCACTTTTGATGGTTAGATTAGGGGCATCATGTTTCGTTTAGCATATCGCATGTTTGCATTCATTCATTTGTCTTACATGCATCGAGGCTCGGTTCATCATTCTAACTGCATTGTCGTTTTAATACCTTGTTGAATACATGTTTAAACGCATGCTATGAAATTGTTGTAAATAACATGTTAAGTAGTCGAACCTATTTTAGTTGAATTTTTGCATGCGTTGCATTAGCCATCTTGCATAGTTAGATATCATGCATATTTTTCTAACTCTTTTGTTTTATCTTAGCTTGGAGTACTAGGTGAGTTTTTAGTACTTTAGCATCTTGCATGAGTGTGAGTGACTGCCATGACTAGCATGCTTTCCATGAGGCTAAGTGCTTTCTTGATAAACTGTTTGAATGCCTGTGGATGGAGACTTGTTGCTTGAATTGGAATGATTCAAAAAATGTATGTTTATGCCCACTTTGTCAAGTAGAAAATTCACAAACTTTAAGCCCACTTTGTTAAGTGGCAAAATCAAACCCTTTTCGAAAAACAAACATGAAATTAAATTGTTTCAATTCGGGCAAACGAGTCTGTACCTTGTATTCACACATCACATAGTAATGCTAGCCTAATAAACCGGAATAAGAGCATATAATGTAAATAAGATTCATATCATGATTAGTAGAGGTCGATCTTTGATCGGGCGAGCGGGGTGCTCAAATGTATTCATGACCTTTCCCTCTCGTATCCAAGTTCCCGAGCCAAGGCAACTTTGGAGATGACAGAAACGTGGCCGTTGGCATGAGTCATGGGTTTCCTAAATTTTTCCAAAATAAAATATTTAGGTGGCGACTCTATATCTGGAAAAGCAGTCCAATTTGGGCATTTTTGATTCAAAATCAATTTTCTGAACGATTTGCTAGATTTAGACTCTTTAGTATTTATCAATTTCACATTGCACGTGTGAGATTAGATTTAGAACCGCAGGAGTCTGAACTATAGGGCTTATTTTGACCTCTTGAAAGGGGGGGTGTGAAAAAGTCGAGATACACATTCTTGTTCAATTTTCTTTATACTTGACGGAAAATTGTACTTGACAAGAATCGACCAATTTCAATGAAATCCCAAGGAGCTATTTTTAAAATATAGGAAGTAAAGTGTCATCAAATAATATTGTAAATTGATTTTTGCTTTATTTCCAATTTTGAAAGATTTGAAGAAAAAAAATGTTAAGTTGAAATTTCCTTTCAAGCGCCAAATTGACCATATATGTTAAAGTACTCAGAAGCAATCAGTAATAATTGCCCCTCTTTTTTTTTTTCCTTTTTTTTTTAACTTGAAAAACATAAAAATTATGATTATGCCTATTAAAAGCCATTGTTCCAAAAATGTTTTCAAAGATTTTATAGTAATTGGAAATCATAGATCTTAACTCAAATTGTTTTCCAATGTTTTGTTTAGTTTTTGGGCAGTGCCTAAATAATTTATATGACCCACAATCTTATATATCATTCTGGACACGATAGTTGGCCTAATAATTCATGAAGCTATCATCCGTCATCATTTTATTCTGCCCACTCTTTCTATATATCAAATAAAATTAAAAAAAAAAGAAGACGAAAACAAAACAATTCTAAAAATATAAATTGTTTTTCTAGTCTTTGCGAATGATATGCCAACAAAAACTTACAAATGAAATTTAATTAATAATTTTGTGTCCTAAAAAAAAGGTACGTACATTTAAATATATAATTACAATAATTTTTATTTTTTTTATTTTTTATAAAGAGTCTTACTTTTGTTGTCTTAAATCTCCAATAAACTTGAGCCTCCTCTGTTCACAAAGCTTGACAACATAACTAGTAACAAACGTTACTGATAATAATATGCACTTTGCAAACCTTATCACAATAGCTAACGTAGGAAAATAAACAATAGTTAAGCCTCTGTTTACAAAGCTTAGGTGAAAACATAAACTAGTTTAGTAATAAATATAGAAAAACCCATCACACGAAAAAAATTCTAAAAATACAAATTGTTTTTCTAGTCTTTGCGAATGATATGCCAACAAAAACTTAAAAATGAAATTTAATTAATAATTTTGTGTCCTAAAAAAAAGGTACGTACATTTAAAAATATAATTACAATAATTTTTTTATTTATTTATAAAGAGTCTTACTTTTGTTGTCTTAAATCTCCAATAAACTTGAGCCTCCTCTGTTCACAAAGCTTGACAACATAACTAGTAACAAACGTTACTGATAATAATATGCACTTTGCAAACCTTATCACAATAGCTAACGTAGGAAAATAAACAATAGTTAAGCCTCTGTTTACAAAGCTTAGGTGAAAACATAAACTAGTTTAGTAATAAATATAGAAAAACCCATCACACGTAGCTTAAAAATCTTATCACAACAGCCAACATAGGAAAATAAATAATAACTATGCTATCCCTACAAACCAAAAATAAACTTTTCTCCATGACACTTTGATCCATAAAGTGAAGCAAACACCACAAAGTCCCACAAGGAATCTAGATCCCATGCTAACATAGAACCAGAGCATTTTATTATCATTCTTAGCACCATTGTCTTTGAGCCTCCTCCACCCAAAGTAGATGAATTAGATGTATGATCTTCATCACCGAGGCACCTAGTGGGAAGAAGAAACACACACAATAAAGGATTTTCTACAGAAATAGACGAATCATCGAGTGTTTGGAGTTGGTTTCCTGATGGGATTCTTCCTGACAAGTTATTGTGAGATAGATTCAAGTGACTCAAAAAGGTTAAAGATGAGATGCTTTTTGGAATGGATCCCAAAAGATTGTTGTTTGAAAGATCAAGTGCTTCCAACAATCTAATATTTCCAATGTTCTTAGGGATGCTTCCTGTTAACTGATTCCCCGAAAGATTTAAGGTTCCTAATGCAATGAGACTTCTGATATCTTCAGGGATTTGACCCATTAAATTGTTTTGAGAAAGATCAATGATATTGACATATTGAAGAGTATTGCCATATTCAAGTTCTCCACCTTTTTCCACCAAAGTTGTTCGCTCCACATAACCGTGTCTTTGCTCGCGGGGTTCTGTTACGCATGCATCATCATAAACCAAATAAGTTAAATTGTGTAAATAATTGGGAATAACCCCTGAAATGTTGTTGTTTGCAAGATCAAAGATGTGAAGAAATGGATTATTGCACCATTTTTGCGGGATGATTCCACTAAAAGAGTTTGATTGCATTTGTAGCATCCAAAGTGTAGTCGCCCCCATCCATGAGGGTAACTTTCCAAATAGTCTATTTCCTCTAAGATCAATTCTCAAAAGTGAACAATTCAGCAAAGACGAAGGAATTTCACCCTCTAGGCTGTTATTGCTCAAAACCAACATATAGAGAAAACTGATGACCCCCATTGAACTTGGAATAATACCGGAGAGATTGTTGTTTTCCACGTCTATGACCATTAAGTATTGTAACCCATTCCAACATTGTGGGAGCTCCCCGGATAATTGGTTTGTCCTAAGGGAAAGTACTTGCAAGCTATTCATGGTACATATGGATGAGGGGATTGTTCCATTCAAAAGGTTCTCTGAGAGATACAAACCAAGTTGATGATATAGCTCCTGAAAACAAGTTGTTCTGCAGATGAAATTAGGATGTATTAGTTGACCAAAGTGGCAATGAACCCTCAAAGCGATTATAGCTCAAGTCAATAAAACCTAATATTGGAGATTCTAACTTCTTTGGAAGCTTTCCTTTGATTCGGTTGTTAGACAGATCCAAATAGGTAAGATGAGCAAAAATCTTGGAAAGCCATTCTTCAGGTAAGTTGTCCTCAATTCCAACGTTTTTAAGGATCAAAGAGGTGAGTTCACTCTGAACTTGAAGCCATACAGAAAATCTGGGACCAACCTGACAGTTTCGTAGATCAAGAAATTTGACCCTAAAAAAGGGAATCCATTTATATGTGACATTCAAAACCAATGATGTTTTTGTCGCTGGTGGTATGATTATATTCTCTAATCTTGTGAGATTCATCAAATGAACTTCTGTTATGATGTCTTCCCATGGATTTCCTTCGAGATACAACTGAACGAGCTTTGAGAGTTTTCCAAAACTTTTAAGAATTATTTCATTCATATTATTGAATTTGAGGTCCAAATATTGCAATGATGACATATTTCCAATTGAAGTTGGAATTGAACCCTAGAAAGAATTGCAACTGAGGTCAAGATGTTGCAAATTCTCAAGTATTCCTAATGAATCAAGCAATGCCCCACCAAGCGAATTAGGTACCTAACCTTCACTATCCCCACTACTATACATATAAAGATATTCCAGAGAAATCAAATTAACAATTTCACTAGGAATGGTACCTTGGAAAGAGTTCATGCTGAGATCAAGTGTTCTTAGTCTTGTAAGATTAAACATCCAGTGAGAAATTGAAGAGTTAAATGAATTTTCTGAGATATGAAGGACTGAAAGCAAAGTGAAGTTGATGAATGGAAGCGAGATTGGAAGGTTCTGAAGATTACATGAAGGCAAATGTAACTCTACAAGAGAAGGAAGCATATTAACTGCTTTCAACCAATCTTTTCTAATGTTAAGTCCTACTGCTCCCATGTTAAGGTAACGCAAAGAAGAGAGACCGGAAACCCATTTCAAGTTTACAGTGCGTAATCCATTAGAATTGAGATCAAGATAATTTAGGTTTGATAGATTTCCAAGCTGAGGTGGAATCTCTCCAGTGAATGATGCGAAAGAGAGATTAAGGTATCTCAAGTTCTTAAGCATACCGATGAATTTAGGAATTGGAGTTCCTGTAAAATCATTTGAACTTAGATCTAAATACTGCAAATATTTCAAGTCAAGCAAAGAAGTGCTTATGTCACCGCCCAAATATGACCTTTCATATGCTGTGTTGTAAATCGCAGAACTGTTGTACATAAATGGGTTTCGTAGATCAAGCTTGATGACATGTCCAGATGTCTTGTTGCATTCAACGCCGCTCCATTGGCAGCAACCATTGCCTGTCCAGGAAGAAAGCCTATTTGAAGGATCTATGAGGCCTTGTTTGAAGGCAAACAGTGCTTCTTTCTCTGGCTCTATACATTTGATCATGCTGGTCACATCATTTGTCGCCATGCTGAATTTGATGAGCAAAGACACCACATAAGAGAATGTGACGAGAATTGCACATCTAGAATTGATCCAGGATGATAAAGTGGGTTGAATTCTGCTCATGGTATGGTTGTTATCCTGCACAAATGATTAATTGTATGAGCATCAACAAGTCAGTTTTTGTATAAATATTAATAAAATTATATGATTATATATATATATATTGTAGATTATTTACATACAAAGTTATACCCCGGAATGGATAGAATCTTCTCCTCTCTCTCTCTTTTTTTTTTTTTTAACCCAAATCGTGGAAGTGGAAAGAATCACATTGTACTGAGGAAAATTGGTGAACCAAAATGTCAAGAAAGCAAGAGGATCAAGTTTCATTAGGAGTGGAGCATGATAGATAGAAAGTAATAATAGAGGTACATAAACAATCAATTTGTACCAGTTATATTATTGAATTTGAATGAAATGAGTAATGCTTCCTTGGACAAGACACAGATTAAGACCATTTAGATTAGATTAGAATTCACAGAAATTGTTGTTTTGTGTACTTGGGCAACTCATGAACTTTTATGTGGAGATAATCAACAACAATATTATTGGTTTGAGCTCCCAAGTTGTTTGGTTGGTGTTGTGTTTTACCTATCATACAAATGATTCAATTGAAACAAAGTACAACCCTTGAGATGAGAAGGGGAATTTTTCAATATCCCAATTCTTAATGCTTATTTATTTGAACAAGAAGAGATTAGAAAGAAAATTCAAAATATAGGCATTTAAAAGTTGTGAATTATCCTGTTCTCTATGGTAAATGTATTTTTAATTTTATTTTTTTTAAACAAAAGATCAAACTAGCTGTGCAGGCTTCAATTTAGGTGAGCCATGATGATTTTTCTGAATTAAAAAATTATAAGGAGCTATGTGCCTAAAACTTTATAGATTGTTTGTACATAGACCAAACCAAAAAAAGAGAGAAAAGTTTTTCCTTCTTTTTTTGTTTTTTGTAGTAAAAAAAAAAAAAAGGACCAAGCCAAAATTCAAAGCAATAATGTTAGGAATTAATCCTTAAATACAAAAAACACATAAATGAATGAGATTTTACAAGATTTGTTGATGGTGTCCACTTTAAAAAATAAAATTATTTGTTATTATACAAACAAAAAGTAGTAATCATTATGTATCTCTCTTGGTGAGAGAAAAAAAAATCATCATTATATTTCTTTCTCTATCGAAATAAAAAAGTGCACATAAACAAGTGAAATGTAAGAGAGGAATTGGTTACACAGCATTGTGCTGTGGTTAGTTTTGTGGTTGATTATGTGTCATAATGGTTCACTATATTAGCAACAATAAATTCTAAGAACATAATTTGTCTTTCTCCGCGTGAATGAAATTTAATTATTAATTTTGTGCCTTCAAAAGAGTGTGTATGTGTGTGTGGGGAGCGAAGGGGGGGGGGATTTAAATAAAGAAGTACAATGTAAAAAATTATAAAATGTCTCACTTAAATAATTTTTTGTCTTAAGTTTCATATAAACTTGAACCGCCTTTGATCACAAGGCTTAGTTGAAAATATAACAAGTTTAGTAACAAATGTTATTGCTAATCATATGTAGCTTACAAACCTTACCACGATAACTAACATAGGAAATAAACAATAGCTGTGCTATATTCTTACAAACTGAAAATAAGCTTTTCTCCATGACTCTTTGATACGTAAAGTGAAGCAAACACCACAAAGTTCCACAGGGAATCCAGAGCCCATGCTAACATAGAACCAGAGCATTTCATTATCCTTCTCAACACCATTGTCTTTTAATCCTCCTTTACCAATAGTAGGTGAATTAGATGTATGATTATATCTTCATCAGCAGGGTACTTGTTGGGAAGAAGAAACCCACACAATAAAGGGTTGTCTGCATAAATAGACGAATCATCGAGTGTTTGGAGTTGGTTTCCTTATTGGATTCTTCCTGACAAGTTATTGGGAGATTGTGATGCCCCGATTCTACACTATTGGCTGCAGTCAAGGGAGAGTCGCTAATGAGTCCTATGGTCAATAACCAAGTAAGATCCTAGATCGCCGGAGGAGTCAAAATAGCCTCCCTTCTAAGTCCAGCTTTCTTAGGCAGCACACTACCCTTTTGACAGAACTTAAAAGGTATTGACACAAGGTCTCATAAGCAACGATAAGGTTCATACATAGAATATAAATACATAGCAACCACAAATATACTTAATTCAAAAGATTGTTCCATTACATTACATCCCAAAAGAAGCTTAAATCTTCACATGAGTCTTACAAAATACCTAGAAAGAAACTTCTAATTTTTCTAGGATAGCCAAAGGTCTTTGAAAGTTTCAGGCTCGTCGTCTCCAGCTATGAGTTCCTCTTCGTCACCTGGAATGATACGCCGTGAGCTTTGAATGCCCAGTAAACACACACACACCCCGTCCCTTTTTCCCAGTCCAATACACAAACACCAATATAACATCAAGTAATAAAGCATGATACTCAAATAAATAAATAAAGGGTTAAGTTAGATGTCAGTAAACTAGAAATCCCCCAAAGAGATTTCGTCCTCCCAACCACAAGAATCGGACACGGATTATTCGGTATGCCCCCTCTTTAGCTGCTTTGTTGCAGAACTAACCTTAAAAGGTATTGACACAAGGTCTCATAAGCAACGATAAGGTTCATACATAGAATATAAATACATAACAACCACAAATATACTTAATTCAAAAGATGGTTCCATTACATTACATCCCAAAAGAAGCTTAAATCTTCACATGAGTCTTACAAAATACCTAGAAAGAAACTTCTAATTTTTCTAGGATAGCCAAAGGTCTTTGAAAGTTTCAGGCTCGCCGTCTCCAGCTATGAGTTCCTCTTCGTCACCTGGAATGATACGCCGTGAGCTTTGAATGCCCAGTAAACACACACACACCCCATCCCTTTTTCCCAGTCCAATACACAAACACCAATATAACATCAAGTAATAAAGCATGATACTCAAATAAATAAATAAATAAATAAAGGGTTACAAGTTAGATGTTAGTAAACTAGAAATCCCCCAAAGAGATTTCGTCCTCCCAACCACAAGAATCGGACACGGATTATTCGGTATGCCCCCTCTTTAGCTGCTTTGTTGCAGAACTAACCTCGGATGCCTACCAACGGTTATATACCGCGTAGCGCCAATCGCAGGGCCTCAAAAGAGACGGTAAAATAAGGCCTTGCCCAAATCCCTCCTCACACCAAACCACCTAGGGTCCGAATACAACCGCTCCGTTTAAGGGTTCCGAAAACCACTTGCGCAAGACTTTAACT